TGGGGGGGTGGGTGTGGGTGTGGGTGGGGGGTGGGGGTGGGGGTGGGGGTGGGGGTGGGGGGGTGGGGGTGGGTGGGTGGGTGTGGGTGGGTGGGTGTGGGTGGATGGATGGGTGGGTGGGTGGGTGGGTGGGTGGGTGGGTGGGGGGGGGGGTGAGTCTTGCTGCTTGTCGCGCATCCCTGCGGAACCGAGTCGCTCCGTGCACCGTGCTGGAGGGCATGCAGATGGACTGCGGTGGTGTTTCCGCAATCTGGCAATCTAAAACTTACGAGGCATGGCAATCACTAGCGCCGAGGGTCGTGCATGGAAGACATGCCTGATACGTCAGATTTTCTGTGACCGGTCGGTGGTGCAGGTCGGAGCGTCAGGAGCCGCCTTGCGTTGGTGGGTGCAATTCAATGCTGCCGTCTCCCAAGTCCGCATTTCTGCATGGCTACCGAACGCGGCTATAGAAGGCCACGTGGATGGTTCACCCGTAAGTGTGCGGCGGCGCCCAGCTGTACTGCCCTTGACATCGATATTAGCGACGGCAAGCAGTGCATACCAGGGGCGCGGGCCGGAAAGGATGATCGATTCAGATTACGATACTGAGTGGTTTGCGGGGAAAGGTGAGCAGGAGGCTTGGATTCTCCTCGAGCTTCCAGAGGAAGTCACGATCGATTCTGTCGCCTGGACTTGGTGGGCCCAGTCCGCGGCAGATGAGTGGGTACTGTCAAGCCGCAGGTATTTGACAGGTCCGTGGGCTGAGCGCAGTTCTAGCGAAACGATCTCTCAGCCAACCAAGTTCAACTCTGAAGTCAAGGTCAATGGCTGGCAGGAGCCTTCGAAGTGGATCCGGCTCCAAATGCAGAAGGGGCACCAGGATCCGTGGAACTTCGGTGTATTCTTTGGCATACGATCCTTTACGATTCTGGGCCGGGATGAAGCGGCTTCAGCTGGTGGATCGGATCTGTGGCGGGAAGATGGCCCAGGCTCATACAAGTGCATAATTAGGCGAGTTTTGCTTTTGTAGCGTGATGGGTGATTCCCGCGTTCAACATAGTCAAACCAGAGACCTGGCAAATGACTTCTGATTGCAGACCTCAGCATCAGCAAGGTTCAACCATCCCCGCGGGAATTTGGTTCGCTTTGGAACATCCCAGGGCGCGATGCAAGGTGCGTAGCCACGCTGAAGCCCGAGAGCCTGTTTCCTCAACAGGTCCTGTTTCTCGGCATGTGTTCTTCTATTCTTAGTGTTTTCAGGTCCAGGATCCGGGCTTTCGCAGGGTTCAGGCTGCTTTTTGTTGAATTGGTGTACAGGACGTCAGCTTCGCCGGTGGACGAAGCTTTTTGCAAAGGCTGAAGCTGTTTGCACTAGATGTTCTAATGGCACCGCCATCCCGAACAACAGCTGTACTGCTGCCTTATGACTCTTCCCGCTGAGTACTTGGGTGCACAGAGTGCGTGCCGACAAGGAGCTTCCCGAAACGGTTCCGCCACAGAGTTGAAGACATGGCTGTGCGAAGACTTCCGACATGATCGAAACAACTGGACAATACTGGACAACTGAGTTTGCTCAGGTTTGGCGGAGGGCCGAGTGTACCCTTGAGCTCTCTGAGAAGCCAACAGGCCGTGTGCAGGCCGAGTGTCACGAACTCTTTGACTTAAGCTTCAATCCATGGGGTTTGCCACCTTGCCGTTCCTCTTGCTGTTGCAATGAAAGAGACCGGCTCTCGATATGTCGTGTAGAATGTAGAAAGTGTAGAATGGCACAAAGAAAGGAATGCTGCATTTTGCGTTGGTCGGGTTGCTGACAGTGGGGAGTTGAAGAGAAGGACAATCCCAGTCGCAGTTTGGCACTCTGTCGGGAGTCGGAATAGCATGACATAGTGTTTGGAGTTGTATTGTCGCAGGGCAGCTTTTGACAGCTGCTTTCCAGATTGTTTTGGTTCGCAGAGCTTCCCATCTCCGAGGGTCCCTGAAGAAGGCAGTCTGTGTGTTTGTTTGTTTGTTTGTTTGTTTGTTTGTTTGTTTGTGTGTTTGTTTGTTTGCTTGTTTGTGTGCTTGCTTGCTTGCTTGCTTGCTTGCTTGTTGTTTGTTTGCTTGGTTGTTTGTTTGTTTGTTTTCGCGTTGTCGTTCGGCCAAGTCAAGCTCTTAGACGGGTGGACTCAACAGCCCGCACGTGATTCTGCTGCCTACATCCCTCACTGGGTCAGGTTTCTGCATCTATGGGAGTCTTCGAGGACGGGCAGCACCTTGTGCGGCACATCATGGGTCGAGTCTTCCGAGAAAGCGCCATGCGCCCGTTTGAAGCAGCCAAGCCAGCTCCAAGCTCAAGGCCCGGACCCCCCTTGTTTTTAAGGAACATCTCAGGTACCCGCAGCTGCGCCGCATATTCTCCCGATATTTGGAATTGGTGCGGGGCCGGGACTTCGGCCAGACTTTGCAACTTGGGCCTGTCAGCATACGCTTCCTTTCCGCCCTGTCTTACTTAGTTGTTTGACTGTTGTTTGTATCTGGGGCAGCCCAAAGACTCAAAGAAGATAGCAAAGCATTTGGGAAATCTAAACTGATAAGACGTCGCAAAGCTGGTGATGAATCTATGCGCAGAGATGGTCAACAGCGACAGCTCAGGCACTACAACAGCTGGTCTCTTGGCGAAGATCTTCAGGATCGCTTGGCGCGAGTATCAAACATGCTTGACTACCGATCACGCTCTGCAGATTGACGTTCTGGACTGTATTAGGCTACAAAGACGAAGTTCCAAGCGGAGCAATGCAAGCAAATGAGATCTGCAGGTACGATCTCCGAAGTACGCCCTGCGACGAATCGCAGAGGCAGCGTTGCTTTTCGCACAAGATGACGGAGGCCTGGCTGCCGAGCACAAGTGACATCAATGCAGACTCAGACCACACGTGGACGGGAGCAGGTGGCATGTTCGCAGCGCATCGCAATCTTCAACGAAAACCTGACGCTTCACGGCGGGAACTCACTGGATGCTTTCTTGCTGCTTGGTCTAGACAGCAGTCGAGTCTCCCTTCGAGCTTTCCAGTCTTCAAAACAAGCAGCTTGTCAAAGCGTGAGCCTCTGAATCTAGGTTGGATGATGGATGGGATAATGCAGACAGCCTGTGGGAAGTGGACAGGTGCCAACCTCAGGATTCTTCTCCTACATCACCTCGGCAAGCCTGTTTCGAGAAGGTTCAGGAGCTGGTTGGAAGATCTATTGTACAGAGCTCGCTCCTAGAGAGGAGCCATCACCCCACGCACTGACCATGCGCCGACATGTCCAATTGCTCAGCATAGTCCAGAACAATGTGGCCCCTTCTGACAGGAAACACTTTCCCGGCGGCTTTGCTTCCTTGGTGCAGCACAGCGAGAAATGGGGCACAAAGACACTCGCAAAGCATACAGTATTGCTGGCCGTAGTAATAAGGGCTGATGGTATGATTTGGTGCTCAGATTGCTTACTTCGGGAAGGTTTGAATGCTCCCACAGGGGACGGCAAACGGCAGACTTTCCAACAGAGAGGCACATTCCGGATCTGTGGGATGTATGAGGCGCGGCGGCCTGTCACGAAAGCATGAAGTCAGAAGTCCACTTTGCTGTAAGTGCTGTGTCAAAGGATGGGCGTTTGGATGTCGCCTTTCGGAGGAGCCGCCACCCAACGTCCTGAATTGACAGGTTTTAGCAGCTGGGTTGAGCTCGCCCGCGCACCCATCCCCCAATGTTATCTGTAACAAGTTCCCGGGAACTTATGCAATATCGCCACAAAGCAGAGTGAGCTTCCAAAACAGAATTAAGCATTCGTAGTAACTCTCGAGGCGCTCGCAGCACGGACACAACAGTCTAGAGCGCAACAACCTGACACAACTTTATCTCTTCGTGGGCTTCCGGAGGTCTGCTGACCCACGGCTTTCGAAAGTGTTGCTTTTGCGTTTTATGACCTATCACCACCCATATGAGACGAAAATACCCCGGCAAGTGAACCTTGGATCAGATAGTATTCCATGTCCCTGCCGGCCTACCGGCTTCGTTTCAGCCTGGACTCAGAGAGTTCGACGTGGGGGGGGAGGGGGGCTACTGCAATCAACGAGTCCGTTTAGGAGACGGTGGTAAAGATGAAGTTGAGCTGTGGTTGCTCAAACTTGTTTGCCAATACCCTGGCACAGGCTAAAGCGACTTGTGATTGAATCTCGCCAACACGCCCCGGGGGCCGCCGAAAGCAGCAGGATATGGTGCGGCAGGTGCCCGCCGCGTCCGACATGGTGCCAGCCATGGTTTCGAGCGTCCTGCCAGCATTTCGCGGGGCTCAGAGAAGAAGCATTGGACTGGCTCAGCTAGGGCTGCCCATGGCCGGCGCGAATTGTGCATAATTTACGATTGGCAGCGGTGTTCACTGCTAACCTTTGATTGTGCTGTTCGGTTTGTTAGGCTTTTGACTCGGGGATGATTGGTGGGAAGTGACTGTAGTTACACTGTAGTTGATTGTTCCTTGGGAGGAAAAGCCGGTGTGGACTTGACCTCTGCCAAGGCGAAGCTTTCGGGGGGGCTTCGCCCTCGCAGGGCAGAGGTGCCATGGGCTTCTTTCATGCATGGCTTGGACTGGCTAGGAGACAAACAATTTTGACAATGCACTTTCCTGGCCTGCAGGTTCCAGAGATGATCATGAAGATTAGGATTATGCAGAAAATGGTGATGACGATGATGACAACGATCATGATCTTCATCATCACTCTTCATCACCATTATCACCGTCATCATCATCAACATCATCATCATCACCATCATCATCATCGCCAGCATCATGTCGAGGGGGGGCCGAGGGGGCAAGGGCAACTGCTAATCAATCTCCTGCTACAGATGTGGTGGCTGTATGGATTTATAGTGGTATCTCAATCAGCATGACATCCACACGCAGAGTCGAGCTAGGGTTGCGCCAGCACGATGCTCTTTGCGTTTATCTTTTGGTAAGTATTGCATCAATCAATAGGTATTCAATAGGGTCAATAGGGACCGAGTCGTGAGATTGTCACATGCGCATGTTCTCGCTTTTCAGCCTGGGCTGGAACATGCTGGAACTGAGACGGCCATGGGGTGTGCCTGTGTGTGTGTGCGCGCGCAGGTATTTTGAAAGCTTCCGGTCCGTTGTGCGTGACCGCATTGCTGAAGGACTGCTTCGTGCTGAGGATAGCAACGAGTTCAGACTCGGCAAAGATCATACCCTTCCTCCGCTACAGGGCTAGCGTCGTAAGCACAGTGTTTATTGAGCTCCGGTGTCTTTCCCATGGTTGCATTCGTGTATTCTTCGGAGTGTCTTGCAGGGCCTGGGTTCGGTGGGCGTCATCTCGCAACCTCCACACTCAACCCACGGGTCACTCCACGCTCCTAAACTGAAGTGGACAGGCACCTTTCTTCTCATGGGTCCACCTGTCCAGGACAGGACTTCAACAGCAAACTCGCCAACTCAGCCAACTCGTGGAGCCAGGATTCCGGCTCTTCAAGTTCGATGGTTTGGGCGGCGGCTTGGGGCAGAGTGGCGGCGAGGAGGCCGCACGGCTTCCAGCGAACCACGATTCCCTGGTCATATGATACAGCCTTGGGCCCTACAAGTAGAGCTTCGAATGCTACAGGCAAGGCGGCAATTGCTGAAAGATTCGTGCCATCCAATGTGACTTGACTTGTCACTATCACGGGAGAATCTGGTGTGTGTTTCTGGTTTGTGGCAGATCTGCTCATTTCGTATCAAGCCCCACAGCATGTCATGCTGACGGGGCCTTGACATCGTTCAGGCTAGCTTAGGTCGAGAAGTGGCTCAACAGGATGCTTGATGATAGCGGCGACACAAGGTAGTAAATCATATGATGCGCCTGCCGGATTCAGCTCATCAAGTTGGGAGAGCCATGCACCGGATGGCCTGCCCAGTCCAAACCCGGAGTGGAATGCACAAGTCTCAGGGGAAGGTGACAGAAAGAAAGGCCGAAGCAGGGAACTCGGTTGCGATGAGGATCGCAACTGTGTCGCCTTGAGTGCGCAACGTGTCAACACCGCTGAGAAAATGTGCATCGCGAACTTCCCACCTCAGAGCGCAGCACCCACTCCGTGCATGCAAATGCAAACTTGGCACCTTGCCAATACATGGAAGCGCAGGACCGCGACGACTTCGAGGCCATGCTAAGCCTGATCCAGGACCCAGTGTTCGCTCATATGCGGGCCTTGCACATTTTTATGTCTTGTTTGGATGGCTCTCTTCAAATTGCGAACAGTTTACCAGAACGCTGCCCACAACTTCTACGAATTTCTTAAGGCTCTATCAGTTGAGTGCCTAGTGCGCTGGTGATTCCTCTTCAGTGGCTTGGCTCCCCGAAGTGGTGTTCACCCAGATAAAGTCGGGACAAACTGGAAAGGACTGTTTGGGAGGTCTGACCAAGAAGAGTGGGTGGTTGCATCTGTCAGGCTCTCTCTCTTGGCATATCTTTGCAGGATCTACGATCACGCGACAGTGGAGATGTCCCACTCTGGGTCAGCAATTGGGCTTGCATTATGTTGCGACAGTCAGTGCTGGTGGGATCCCTGCTACGTCCAGGGCAAACTTGTTTGGGATGTAGCCGTGACGCGAGCTGATTATTGGCAGCAGGTTTGGATGTCATGAACAGCCTGTATCGGAGTTGCGCTGCACAAAGATCTCACCCAGATCTCACCCCTTCACACGAAGCTGAGTGATTCGCATAACCACGTTGCAGGTTTGACCATCGGCACTTGGCCGTCTCCTTTCTGGCTGCTTTGGGGCGATGCCAAGACTCATAAGGTTTACCCTGATCTCTCCATGTCTCAGTCGGACAGTCGCGTAGGTTCTGAGATGAAGTATCGATAAAGATCTTAGATTTATGTTGCGGCTGGCGCTCTGTAGACGACTTGTGCACCAAAGTCGAGCGGATTCCTTTAGAAATCTTTGGCATGCCGAAGGCTTTTGGTGTGCAGTCTGTGCAGCACGAACTCGAGAGTGGAAAGGGCCCCTCAATGCCATGAACAAAGGATTCTATCTGGCGAGATGGGCCAGACGTCGGTGCAGAGGGCGCCTTGGATTTCTGTTGCCCCACGGGTCGGTGCGGGTTTTGGCGGCTCTCGAAGTCCGAGGGGGCAGAGATGGCGGGAATTGTCGGCTTGGAACAGTTCTCAGCTTTCATCACTTTTGGACCGTGTCTTGGAGGCTTGGGATCGCCTCGGGACCGATGGTTGAATTTCCGCGACTGGGCCTTGCGCACCTTGGTTTGTTTAAGTTTACTGTTACTGCTGCTGCTGCTACTACTGCTCAATGGCTGCTGCTGCTACTGCAACTGGAGCGACTGCAACTGCTGCTGCTGCTGCTGCTGCTGCTGCCACATTCTTGCTTACTGTGGGTCTCCATACTGTCGATGTAGTTGTTTGTTGTAGTCGCAGCGGCAGCAGCGGCAGCGCCAGCAGCAGCTGCTGCTACTGCTCCTGCTGCTGCTACTACTACTACTACTACTACTACTGCTACTACTGCTACTGCTACTACTACTACTACTACTACTCCTCCTCCTCCTCCTCCTCCTACTCCTACTCCTACTTCTACTCGCCTCATGAAGCGAGGCTCTCGTGATGTAGTTTCAGAGATGAAGGGACGGAAAGATTAGACATTAGGGGCAAATAAATGCCGGCCGTCTCGTAGGACTGACCGAGATACTTGTCCATGAAGCCAGGTATACTTAGTTTTCGTAGCTCCTCGTGAACCGAGGAAGGGCGCAAGCTCGTGGCCCGCTTTTCCCCATGACTGCGTTCATGCAGTGCCCTGGCCTAGCTTCCTCGTTTGCCGTAGGTGTAGCCTGATGCTCCTGCAGGGTCTACTCCCACGGTGCTTTCTTCCAACTTAGACTGCGGAAAGTGTTTGTTTCTTGCTGGTTCATCGTGGACATTGGGCTGCTGCAGCACTAGGCGAAGATTGGCTTTACCCTTACCCCGGGAAGCCCAGCTGCGTGAAGAACTCAGGCATGGCGTGGTGTGGAGCAAGTCTGCAGTTGCTGGGCTCACACGGTTCAAGCGTTGGTATCTACACAGGTCACACAACTTTGCTCACAAAGTCAGGTCTTTGGCCAGACCCCTTGAGCAACAACGCCGGTACATCTGGATTTCTGTAACCAGTGCCGGTTTGCTTCGCAAACATTCAATGAGCACCCGAATCCTCAACGGCCCAACTGGTCACAGCCAGTGGGCTTGAACAACGGCTCCTGTGCCTCGCATTGGCCCTGATACAGGCTTGTGCTGCAGTGAACTGAACTAGGTAGCGGCTATGTTTGGGAAGCCAAGTTACACATGCTAGCACCTCGCTCAGCCCAGGAGACCGCCGACATGTGGCCCCCGACAAAAACGACGCTTCTGGCAGATGGGATCGAAGTAATTTAAACGCTGATGAGTGTGTACACCTCCACCCAAACAAATGAAAGTACACCTAGAGTTAACATCCTAAAACCTTTTTTCCGGCTTCCAACGTACCAGGTTGTACGTAGTAGGAAAAGTAATACGAGTGAAAGAAAGTATTCGTCATATCGATAGTGAGAGTAGCATAACATCATTAGGAGTAGTGTACCGCACTAGTAATAGTCGCGGCATGCATAGAAGCATCATTCACAGGAATGGTAGTACTGCTTACTTTCAGGGCCCCTGCTTCCGCTGCAGCCGGACAAACTCGCCACTATTGGGAGATTCCAAGACAATGCGCAAGTTCGCAATACGCCCGGCAAAACTTCCCCATATTGGGGGATCCCAGGCCCCATGCCAATCAGAGTTCAACCTGAGGATTATGGGTTGATGCCAATGTTCGCTTCTCAGGCAGATTTCTGCAAGGAGGTTCTGTCATTCTTCCTGGCCGGCACGGGCCTTCAGGACAGCCATGCAGCGAGCGACTGTCAAAACAGAAGGTAGGCCTAGAAGCGGCAGAGATTTCACGAACTCAGCGGCAGGAGCTCTACATTCAGTCAGAGCTGATGACGACAGACTACTGGAAAGCTTTGGCGGTCGCATCAAGCTTTGCACGAAAGGCTTGCTGGGGTCATCGCTGAGACTTCAAAAAGTGTGACATGCCTCCCTCCACAGGAGCAAAAACTTTCCAGCCCTTCATGCTTCTAGGGTGCCTTCTCCTTCGGATGCATGCTTTCTAGGCCAATGGCATTGATCCAAACGAACGGTCCAGACCGCTGTAGGTCTGTAGGCTTGCAAAATGTTCATTTCGATTCTGGTCGAACTTGTTGATTTCCGGATCCTGGGAAGATGTATAGAGTTTAGACGATGAATCCAAGATGACGTGGATGCCTGCTTTGCCAAAACTGACCCAAATGAAAGAGCACCGACTGCATTGCGATGAACATCAAGCTGCGAGGAGCAAAAGCTCCTCCGCGATGCGCATGCCATCGGCGGGGATGTGCAGAGAGTCTACGGTGCAGCAGCATTCGACGATGCTTGGAAGACTATTCTTGGGTGTGCCAGTAGGACCAGACTGGATGGTTGGTCTGGGAAGCTGGTTTTGCTCCAAGCTGCCCTTGCCAGAGATGGGAGTTCGGACTTCCATGAAGCCCAAACCTTCAGCGTTCAGCTGCTTGATCCGTTGGGGAGCATAGTGTATACGCACTGCTGCCCAGATCCGCATCACATGGACGAGGAAATTCACGACATTCGTGTAGGCCCTGTCGCACACCTTCCGGCCACCAAGGAGTCAAACCTCCGAGGATTGTTTTGGTGGCGCATCTCGGCAAAGAAGTCGCCATACCATGATGTATCATGCAATTGGTTTTCGGGAGGGAGGGAGGGAGGGAGGGAGGGAGGGAGGCAGGGAGGGAGGGAGGGCGACATTCATGCACACACACACACAAACGAATACACAGATAACTATGTGTCAAGAGCTTTGTTCGCCGCAAACAGTTCGTAGTTGTGCTCCAGAGGGGCCTTCAAACCTTCTTCCAGTCTCGAGGGCCATGCGGTTTGTCGGGTGGATCGATGCAGGATCCTTGGTTTCAAGGTCGTGGTCAGATCAGGATGACGGGATGCCAAGACCCATCGGCCGAATAGTTCTGGAGTTGTGAGTTCCCAGAGTTGTTGACCATGACCCTGAACGCCCCGCGGTTGTCCAAAGCACAGCTCTAGCTTGTGATTCACCACCTTCGCATGAGGCAACCCCACAGACAATGCTCAATCCGAGCCTGGGCTTGAATATTTTGTGTTGCTCCAGAATTAATTTAGATTCAATACCAGATTTGTTGTCAGCCATGTGATGCCCTTCATTGTCGCAGTCGTATCCGCAGAAGCTTCACAGAGGACCTGTTCTGAGTGTCAAGAGGAGTCCCTGCGCAGGTTGCCACTTCTGCATTTGCATAGCATCGACTGGTCCTGTTTACCCTCCCAGGCCGTTTCCAGCGTGGGAGCACTCCTTGAGCTTCCTTCGCGTTCCTGTGCTGCCAAAAAAAACCAAAAAGTTGACAGGGCCTTGCAGAGCCTTGTGGAATGTGGCATTGCAAGAGTGACAATGCAGTACGTGGCATTAAGGACGCCGTTATCTGTTAAGGAAGATGAAAGTTCGCATCAGCCCTGGCACTTTTTGTGCTGCATAAACCGCAGGGCCACTGGGCTGTATGGATATTACATGGCCATAGGCTCCATCTTGCTCAGTGCCTTTTGATTCTGAAGATGCTTTTTGAGCTGGTCAAGTTTCGATAGCATGCTGAGGCTTGCTTTCCTCATCCTTCTGTTGGAGCATCAAACCACTACAGCTCTCGTCACGAGCTCAGACAATACACCACCAGGGCGGGTTGCAGTTCCGTCTACATCGCATGCAGCAGGATGTGATAGAAGGTACTACTTCTAGCAAATGGCAAAGGCAGACTTTAGAATTGCAGCACGTGTCAGCGGTTTCGTATGATTCGCTTACATCAGTGCGAGTGCTGCGCTGCCACCAGCATTGGCATACGAGCCCTCAGAACTTCTGAGCACCGACTCCAGGCTTTCATGTCTGCTTTGGGGACCCGCATGGCCGAAGCCAAAAGCCACGAACCATAAAGCCCTTAAGAGTCAGAATCCGACAGCCATTTTCAGGACAAGCTGTCCGGGCTCAGCACAGACTCAGGTGGGGACAGCACGGGCCCTACTTGTCATGTCACCAGCCGGTGAGGGTCTTACACTCTCAGTGGTGTCTCGGAAGCCAGGTTTCATCCAACGAGGAGATTCGAATACCTTTGGAACCCTTTTCTGTCTATGCGTGGACTATTTCGGCAGTTGCTTGCCTGCACCTCGTGAAATTAGTCAGATTCAGGTTCTTCTGTTCGACGTGCTAGGAGTAGGGCTTGCGTTGATCCCGCTCAGTACTTGCACAGTGCCCGCCGGCTGGCAGCATTTGCAGGCCACCTGCTAAACGAAGCCCCCGGACCGTGCGGTGCGTCCTCGCGATCTCCATGCCTCCACACCTTCGGCAAGAGCGCGGACGGAACAGCTCCTGGGCCATCAGCAGGTTGCCACCGTCCGCCGTTTCTGATATGGGGCACATTCGCGGCAAGTCCGGACAACAGCCATCGCGTCTCTTCTGCCACAAGACCAGCGCGATCGAGCCTCATGGCCTCACGGCCTCTCATGCTTCACGAGCTTGGAGTACAAGACCAGAGATTTGGCAGGCTCCCTGCATCCGAAATGCAAGGGGCTTTGAAGAATAAAAACAAGCTTGCTTGCAGGCCCCGCTGTGGGTGTCTCTTTGTTCGATTTTCTCCTCACATCTTTTTTTGAGCGGCATCGCACCGATTCTGCAGCTCGTGCAGCTCCACTCGATTGTAGAAAAGCGCTAGTAGTGCAACGAAAATGTCGCAACGTGACGTCCCAACAGAACTCTCGAAACGGATCCAAAACCCGGGAAGCCTAGAATGTTACAGCGCCGATCTTTTACCGAAATCCGGACTTAGACCATGCCGGTTGTGAGAAAAGAAAGCACAGCACACCTACACTGGCTGATCTGCGTGTTGCAACCAGAAGAAAGTACCACCGCTTGAAGACAAACCCTGTGCCTTGTGGCATTAGCAGCGATGGCTACCTCCGCAGAGTCCATGGCGGCATTGATGGCAGAGGCCTTCAGGGGAAAATGATGTCGGCTTTTCCAGTGTCTAGACCTTTTCAGACATTTGTTGAAATGGATTTCGTTGAGCTGCAGAGGCACGGGCTGAGCAGTCGCTGATCTCCGCGCAATTGAAGGCGCTGCGTGGAGAGGCGCAGGGCATCAGAGGGAACTGTCGACGACTCGCTGTCCCTGAGCCTTTGGTTCCCTGGCAGGCTCCCCGCAAGTGAGTGCTCAACTTGTTGGATTCTCCTGGCTCCGAAATGCGTGATACCTCGCAAAAAGCCCAATTGCAAATCCGAACTTGGACCACGCTTTGCCTGTTGCTGTTCACAGGTGCCGGAGGCCGCGCCTAGACGCTTGGACGGAGAAGGATCCATTGATTACAGGGGCCATTGGAGTCTTCAGCCTTCGCGTGGTCTAGCTACCATTCACAGACGTGCAGGCCCACACGTTGAAAACGACAGCAGCAGTGCTGTGCTGCATCTGTCGGCTACATAAACGTCTGTCCTTACGCTTTAAAGATGGCTTAAAGTCTGAAAGCCTAGGGCAAGTTTGCATTGTGCAGTTCATGCTCGAGCCTCAGCTTGAGGCCCAAGAGGCGGCAATACCTCTCCCAGCCACGCGGCTGACCTTGCCGCGAGCTTTGCGGAATCGCGCCCTGCTGGCCATGGCCTCAGCACGGCTGACCCAAGCCAAAATGCAGTCAGGCTAAAAGAACCCTGTGCCGCTTTGGAGGCTCCAGCCCTCTGAGCTCTCCCTCGGCTTGGGCAAGCCCGCGGGCCGCCGCGCCGAGCAGAGGCTCAGGGGCCGGCTCACGGCTTTGAGAGCAATTTCCAAAGGGTTGCGCTTCGATCTATTCACGGACCTTGCTTGCAGAGAGGGCAGTTTGGTTTTTGTCAGGCCCCCCGTGCGGAAGACTCCAGGGTTCACTGACAGTGGTGAAGCATCAAGGGGTGAGATGATTGCGCTGTCAGCACAGACGTTGGGACTTTCCATGCTCCTGGAGCTTCCAAGAACATCTGACATCCCAGACCCGGGCTGAAAGCTCTGCTCTCGGAAGGTGCAGGCTTGCCGGGGGTCGACGAGGAACTTTCTGCCTTAAGAGCCCATGCTCCTTGTCAGCGATCCTGAGGGCCGTACGTGGATGGATGAACAACATCCCTTCTTGTTGCTGTTCTGTCTTCTTGGCCTTATGTGTCATAAAACTAGACGTTTGGACAGCTTTGTTTGCATTTCTGGTTTGTGGGTTTGGCAGGTCGTCGGAGGCGGGACGGAAGATCGGTAGCTAGGTAGCTAGGTGGGAAGTAGGGAGGTAGGTAGGTAGGTAGGTAGGTAGGTAGGTAGGTAGGTAGGTAGGTAGGTGGGTAGGTGGGTAGGTGGGAGGTAGGTAAGAGATGTGCACAACACCTCCTTGCCATGTTTAACGAGTGTCAAAAGATCCAGCCTTCATCGCACAAAACATGTTTCAGGGAAGCACAGAAGAGGGTAACACTGTGGAGCTGCAAGAGACACCCGGGTGACGAAGTTCGTCGAACCCCGCCGACGTTCCCCGAACCCTCCCCGAATCCTAATCCTACTACTACTCCTCCTCCTGCTGCTGCTGCTGCTGGTGCTGCTGCTACTACTACTACTAATTACTACTACTACTACTACTACTACTACTACTACTACTACTACTACTATAATACTAATAGTAGTAGTATTAATACTATTAATGCAATTGATACTACACAAAAAACGGTATGCACATACACACACACACACACACTCCACATGACTGAACTGAAAAGAACACATAAGTAAGGAGGTATGTTTGAAGAAAGTATTTCAGAAAATAGGTAGGCAAGCACGCATGCTCGCGTCTTGCATTCATTTGCACAGGCAATGCAAAGCTGTATGTACACGTTTACACATACAACCATATTGGTGCGTATGCTTGGCATAGGCATGTGTGCATGCATGCCTGTTCGCACGTATGCTCAAACGTCTGCGTCTATCTGTCTACCTGAGTCCACATGTTCGTTTGAGATAGTATGGGCGGATGGGCGCGTCTCTTTTCAATGCACTAGCTTGTCACGCAGACACGTGCTGCATGGTTACGCTGAGCATGCAGGGCTTGTAGATGGCCTGCGCTCGAAGGTTGCAGACCTGGATAGCGAGCTGCTCCAGCGAGATGCGGCCATCGATAATTTGCAAAGAACTTTGCGTGAGACGCAAGACACACTGCAAAAGGCTCACTGGGAGATGTGCACGCCCCATCGTGGTTTGCGTTGCTAGGCTTTGCTTGCAGTAAGAGGGAACCCATCCATAAAACACGATGCTGCACCAGTGCCACCCTTCATTTGCTAGGCGCTGCTTTCGCCACAAGAAGGCGGCTTGTGGAAAGACCGGTACCACGAGGCTCCTGACTGGCGAGTGCTGAGAGATGCAGTTGACGTTCGGCGGAGTAGGGCCTGTGCTCCGAGGCACAGAAGCAAAACGAGACTCGGGGGCGGGAGGTCAACGAGCTGGGCCTAAAGTTAGACACCAAAGAGTGTCTTGGACAGGAAGTTAGACATGCTTCTCAAGCGCCTTGGGCACTTTGGGGTTCCCACACACAAACACATGCGACAGTTGCACTACCAACTCACATAAAGGTCAAAGCGCATACATGCCAAGCCTTGACTTTGGTGAACTGCGCAAGGAAAGAGATCAAGCTTCTTAGTCAGTATGTCCGGAAGCTGGAAGAGGAGGCACGCATCCGAGACAGCCACCGGACGCATTTAAACCTCTCATGGGGACCATCACTTGAGATGAGATCTCCTACTCTACTGTATCCCCCTGTCCATCAACTTCTTGTCAGCTCTGTTGTAGTTGATCAGGTCAGCGTGAGCGGCTGCTCACGGATGCCAGCATTTCACGCAGCAAGCCGCCTGCCGCAATAAGAAGTAGAGACTAGCATGTACATAGCGGAGGCTCTACGACTCATTCTGAGAGCAGTGGCAATCTTGAGGCGAACCTGCCTTTATGCTGATAGGGCCCTCGATTCTTGAGCTGCCTCCCGGGCTTTTTCCCTCGCATGAAAGCTGGATTTGCATGCTAAGGTTCAAGCAGACAGAGTCGGACCAGAAGCAGCTCGTATCCAGATTGCACAGCTTGGAAGACAGCTTCGCACGCTGCATTGGCAGGGTGACGCAGGCTTTAACTGCTGGCGTGGTGGGCGTTTGCATCGATGAGGCCCAGCCATTGCCGCGGTTTGTCGTTCTGAGTCCACGCCCGGGTGGAAGTGCCATCTTGGAGATTTTTGAGGAACCTGACTCGCACTGGGAACTTGCAGCAGTGGAGCTCTCGCCGATGGGAGTTGGCAAGAAACCTCCAGTCACGTTGGATGAGAATGCACTTTCCCTGGTGACCTGTGGCATCTCAGGTGGTGGTGCAGCATACCAAGAAGCTGTCAGCTCCCCCGCCCTAAAGTGTCCCGATAAGGCATCTTTTGCAAAGTGGACATTCGCCTTCCGAAACTTGGGCCTTCTGCCGCAGTATGGAGCCGTTGCATCTGCACCCAGCTCACCACAAGCAGAGCAAGCGCCGACGTCTCCGATGTCGCCCGCGCGAGGTGCCAGAGTCGTTGTGCGAGTGCAGACTTGTGCAGCAGCCTCTCAAAGCTTTTAGCAGCCTGCTCGACTGTTGCCGTGTTGGCAGCTCGCGTATTCATGCTGCTCATGAGCCGAAAACTTAAGAAGCACGACATGATAAATTCTCTGCTCCTGAGCCCTAAACTTAACATTAAGCACATGTACGTGAAAAAAGCTGCACTTAATCATGCTAACATGCCCTGTCCACAGAGCATCCCGCAGCTCTGGCACAAAAGGATGAAGCCCTGACCGAAACGAGACTCAACAGTCTTTTGGGGGCTGTGGAGGGAAACCTGCAGGGTGAGCAGCGTCTGGAAAAGCGGCTCATGCTTCGAGCGTGCGCTGTGGTCATACGGATACACCTGCCCAAGGAGGAACGCAAGGAGAATCTGCTTCTACTCTGCTACCTGCGGGCGTACTACGTTGTTGCAGCGTGGGAAGATGGAATCCACTGGGTAAATAGCCATGGGAGTTGTATATATTTGTATTGTGACACGGCCGTGCTCGGCCTGCGCATCGCTCTTCGCATGCAGAGGCTGGTCTTCGAGTTTCCAGAGTGGGCAGAGGATGGGTACAAGAAAGACTGCCAGGGCTGCAGCACCCTTTGCGCGGTCTCTGTTGGAATGGAGCTGGGTAGCCTCCTCCCCTTGCGTGGGGACTTCTTTGGAGAGGCCGTCGACGCTGCCATCCAGATGCTTTGCTTCTTAGGAGCATGTCGAAGACTTTCATCTGGAAGCTAGGGACGCTGGGGGGTCTTCGTGTAGGGAGGAGTAATCTTCGAAAGAACGAAAACATGCGAAAAGGTTCGCTGAAGACTCGGAATCGGTTTTGGATAGTTCTGAAAAGTTTTGTGACTTTGGGCCAGCCCATTCGGAAAACCGGCTAAAGGTTTTGGGGTGGTTGGGGTCCTGTACCATCACTCGACGGACATTAAGGCGCGTCTAATGTTGGACCTCCATTCAAGTCGCCTTTCAAACATCAACGTATTTTCAAAAGCGAAGAAATGTGAAGAAATTGCAGAAAGGCCAAAAAACTGGTATCACACACACACACACACACGCACACAAACACCCCCCCCCCTCATACACACACACACACACATGGAGAAATGGCGCTTATTCCAATTGGTCCAACGGCTTTTGCCACAACCTAATCATCACGATGTTACCTTAGTAGTTGTCAGAAACCTCAGGTAAGTCAGCACGCCAGCTTATCGAAGATAGCGTTCCAGGTTTGTGGCTTGGCCTGGTTGCTATTCGAGCTTCCGAATTGACTAGCCATGCTTGCAGGTACGCCGAGTTGACCAGACTCGGTATCCCATGACTGTGGTAGCTTCG